CCCACACTTACACCCACACCCACACCCAGACCCACCCACACCCACACCCGCACCCGACCCACATCCACACCCACAAGTTCAACGACGACAACGACGTGAAAATGGATATCGCCAACTTCTTTGGCCAAAAGTCCAAGGGCTTCTACGAACGCGGGATCCTATTTCTGCCAGAGCGTTGGCGATATCCATTTTCACGTCGTTGTCGTCGTTGAACTTGTGGGTGTGGATGTGGGTCGGGTGCGGGTGTGGGTGTGGGTGGGTCTGGGTGTGGGTGTGGGTGTAAGTGTGGGTGTGTGGGGTGGGTGTGGGGTGTGGGTGTGGGTGAGTGTGGGTGTGGGTGTGAGTGTTGGTGTGGGTGGGTGAGGGTGGGGTGTGGGTGGGTGTGGGTGTGTGGGCGTGGATATGGGTGGTGAGTATAGAACTTCTCTTGAGAGATACCCACACTAACATCCACACCCACACCCACCCACACCCACCCACACCCACCCACACCCCACCCACCCCCACCCCCACCCCCACATCCACACCCACACCCAAACCCTTTTCTTTAAGATGATGTTGGATTTAGAACGTTATATGAGTAGCGTGTGCAATTTCTCCTATAGTAAGATTCTCTCTTGTAACGTGCATGTGCATTTGTGGAATATCAACACTTACCTTACGACATAAACTGGTCGCTGAAGTAGTTACGAATCCTGGGTGTAGACATGCGCCTTTTTTCATCGATACCTCCATTTGATCAAATGACTTTAATGTACGATGGTGCAGTACCTTGAAAAACTAAAGATCAATTGAATTAAAATGATTGTTTCTACATTGCCTCTTTTCAAAATTATCAGCACAGTACTTCGATGTGAGTCATAGAAACTCCGTTAAGATTATCGAGGGCGATATCATAGTTTTATTTGATCTTCATCTTCATTTGAAAATACGTAATTGAATACCGTGTATTTAATGTCAATGTTTGCCAACAACACGGAGCGTCTGTTCCATCGTCGAAAACGTCGTCATAATGATAAAAATATATAAGTTGATGCGCATACATTCTGTTTGCTCTTGTTTTTGCGAACAAGTCGGTGTGTATGCAAAAAGAGCACTTGATTCATTGCTTTCATTTAAACAGAAAATTTTGATAAGAAACTAGAGAGTGGTGCAGTTTTGATGATAGTCTGCAATGGTTCTTTTCTTAGTCAAATAATAGGAGGTAAACACTCAGGTGAAGGTATGTGTATGAATACGTTTGATAACATTTTTTTGCTTTCACCTATAACCACTTCTTCTTCATTATTCTGCCGCCAAGAATAGCTACGCCGGTGATCATTCAGCTAAGGTACACTAAATATAAAAGCGAAGTAAAGAAAAGTTTCTTTGATTTATACATGGTTTGATAGACCTTTTTTGGAGTTGAATCTCATATCTAGTTTTTATTGTGTTTTGATCACGTTTCGAGTTTGAAATCTTGAAAATACTAAAAAGTTAGAAAAAGTGAAAAACATCACTGTTTTCGAGAAAAATGTGAAATTTCATCCTTTTCCACTCAGCATAGATTTTTAAAATTGCTTTATTCGGATTCAACATCTGAAACTGATTGTAAAAGTGTTCATTTGATTAATTTCAAACAACTTTCAGAGTAGCCATCGCTATTCATGCGATCAACGAAGATGAAAATTTATTCACTGATACTCTTCTTTCGCAAACCTACGTAGTCTTTTGTTTGAAAACTTTTTCAAAATATTTATACATCAATCGAATCGTCATCTGACAGGAAAATAAAGTACATATGGATTTTGACAAATTTTGTTTTTTGACTGAAGAAAAGCATTTTTTCTGAAACAGGGCTGATCAGGCTAACATAGGATGAGTGTGGATACAAGTGAAAAGAAGACGCACACTCACACCGACATCCATACTAGAGATCTGATTACCTTGTCGGTGGATGGACGTGAGAGGGTGGGGGTTAGAGACCAAAATGCATGAGAAAATCTTCATTCGAGTTCAGTTATATTCGATCCGCTCTCCGTTCGACTCGATTCGATAGGCAATGTTACAGAACACGAATATTCTTATTTTCATGCATATTGTCTACTGCCTACTTTTCCATGTTCTTTTCCGAGCAAGCCGTTTATTGTTTTTGTTCTTCGTTCTAATCACTTTTTTATGTTTAATCTTTTCATACATATCCAAAGATCATTTATTCGCTTAACACAGAAAGTACAGTAGAAAGTAGATTATATATAATAACATTATTCATCTTAGTTTGATATCGATGGACTCAAGAACAATGATATTATCCAGTTGTCGATTTCGCAGCTCGAATCCTTGAGGTTCCTCTTACACTCTTTTCTTTCCAACGTGCTACGAATCATCCTCTTGCATCTTTGAATCCAGCAAACAGCATCACCGAAGTGATCAAATGATCCTCAATGACAAGCCAGCATTTTCGATTACTCTCGTGATTAAAAGGCTGAATTTTCCAGTATCGAGATCATCGTCACATAAAATTTTCTCCTGCACAATCACAACAAACAATATTACTATATAGCAGTACCGTATACAGTTCAAATAGTTAACAAAAAAGATGTCAGTAACAGCCCATTGATGAATTATCATTAGTGCTAGTGATAATTAATCATTGCTCCGATAGGCGGCAAGCTTCGCTCCCTTATATCGATATAATGAAAACAAAATCCATAGATTATTGATAATATCCATACTTGACTTCGAAATAGGATGTTCGTGTCCATCTTAACTGGTTTTGTAGTTAAATTTGCGTCTATTTAAGTTTAAGATAAACTTAGATGTTACACTCATTACAATTAAATTCAGTAAAGTTTAAGTTCAATTATTTTCTTATCAGGATAACTTTCAATCAAAATAAATTCCTTTTCCTTCATTGTTTAGCATCTAACGTACATTTTTTTTAACAAATACCTAGCACTAGAGTTTAAAAGTTAGTATAATTAAGGTGAAACCGTACAATGATGAAATAAGAAGAGAAACAGAACATAGAAACTGCTCAATTATCACGCTACAAATGTTCTTTGATGGTGCGGGCAGTGTACATCTCTCATTAAGATGAATTTAAAGGTATATGAATATTAACAGAAAAGACAAGCACATCATTCTATTTCAATCAATTCTATACAGTTAGCATGATTTATTCATTTGCCATGTGATTGAAAAACTTAGTTAATTTTACGTTGTATAACATTTAGACTTATTTTTTTGCCCTTTTTGATTATGTAGTCTTTAGCAACACATCCTTAATTTGATAAGAATATTGATGATGTAACAAACATCTCTTCACACTCAATGAATCACAAACTTCTTGATAAAATTGCCAATATTGAGATCAGCTATCAGTTTATGTTGATCAAAAAAAAAAAAGTAAAATCTTTTTAAATTCATTCTTTAGCTGGAGTGAATTCTATGTTGAATATTAAATTGAATTCCAAAAAACGAGCACCACATCATTTATTATCTTATTTGCTATCTTATTCACATCAATTATTATATACTTCTTGATTTTGATTTTCTTGCTGGTAAACTTCATTGTATGACAAATCAAGCTGATTCTGCATCATCAAAAACAAAATGTGACTTTGTACTTAATATTAATGATCCAATACCTGACTGTACAAAATTAGCTGCAACATTTAAGGATTGTACAATGCGTGAAGCTAATTCTGTAACAGCTTCCGGTCCTATTGATAGTTCTTGTTATGCAAAAGTTTTCATTGATTATGATACAAAGATGATGTTAGTTGAATTAACTCATATCATTGCTGCACAATCAGTTTTAAGTCCTTATGACGATATGTTTGGTGTTGATACTGGTATAAGAAGTGTTGTACAATACAGAATCATGGGTAACTTAAAAAATAAAACTATATTCATAAGAACACGTATTCAATGCAAAACATATGATAATTGTGCACTTGATAAACTTCGAAAATTTTTATCGAATTTGACCATTAGTGAAATACGATTGAATATATTCAAGAAAACTATGAAGTTACTATA